CATTTTGATGTCTTTTACAGAAACTGAGATAATGTAGCTCAAGGCTAGCAGGGATTTTTCTGAACATCAGGTCAATTCGAGGTCCAAAAACATGTGGGGTTCATAATTTTTCAAAATTCAAAAAGTGATTGATATCTCCTCCCAATGAGCTATGTAACGATATGAAAGTTGAGATAATTGGCAGCCGACACGCGACGCATCCAAAATTATTGGCTCGGCGCCAATTTCCCAATCCAATTAGACGAGAAAATTCCCGAAGAAAAGGGAAAGAAAAAGAACAAAGTTGATAAGAAGAGAAAGTCAAAGAAGACATTCGCTTTCGATTCAGTTTCACCTATTCGCCCTCTTTGCCATTCTAACAGCTTCAGAAGGCGTGGAGGTGGGGGGACGTCTTCTGAAGAAGCAGAAGAAGACAACAAAAGTATAGAATAGAAACAAATTAATCATTCTGTTAACAGGTCTCTTTATCAACATGCAACTTCAATTAGCTATTTCTCACTTCAAAACAAAGATTTTTGAGTTTTGAAAATTGTTACAATTTTTCTAAAATAAACGTTTTCCAAAAATATGAAGTATGGCCTAACTTTTTCTAAATTTTTGAGTTCTAGGCCATCAACAAAACTATGCTATATTACATACATAAGAATCTGGTAGCTTCTCAGTCTCCTGAATTATGCCACCTAAACTATCTGACCCATTCTCTTAATTAACTTAATGATGCTAATAAACCTTTCCTTTGATGTTGTAAGGTTAAAATTAGGTACTTGCACATAATTGGGCATTTTAACCAATTAGAACTGTACAAGACCAATATAAACTATTGACCCTAGCTAAAGAAAACCAAAACCTTTCCAAGCTGCCCTACCAACGCTAAAGTCTTTCCAAAGCCATACTAGGTCAATCTATGGTCACTAGGCAGCATAGGCAAAACTTGGTCAAGCGGGTATCTTGCCAAAGCCTTACTAGCTCAAATCATGCTCTTACAATCTGAAGGCTGCAGTTTGCTCAGCGAGCACCATGAGCTTCACACAGCCCATTAGCTCTTCATCTCAGCTAACTTTGAAACTTCCTTTTCAGCTTGGTAGCTTAGTCTTACAGCTTAAGCTTCTCCTCTCCCCTCCAACCCTTCCAGTTCATTTAGCCAGTTTACCAGCATATATCCTGTACAATATTCTGCTGCTTCTGCCATTCCCCATTCATAATCACCCCGTGCGCATGTTTCTTTTCTAGAACACCACCGATCACATTATCTAAACTATTTGTCTCTTTTGTGTAAACCTTAGCCTCATACAAAAATGCCTCCTACACACCTGTGCGTGCTGCTAATCAATCAAAAAGTTGCGTCAAAAAGTTTTGCTAGGTGCTTCTGCCACGCCCTCCTCCCAACGGACAGTCAGGGACACACGCAATTAAACGACACATACACGTACCCGCCCCACGTACACCTTCACCAAAACTTGAAAGCCTTCGGAATACAAGAGGGGGACACCCATTCATTCCGTTTAGCCAATCAACCGGGCAGCACCCCCTCCGATTATGTTGTTGCCTTTCGATTTCTCTTGTTTTCTTTTCTTCTTCTTCTTCTTCTTGTTCATCCTTTGAAGTCTGCCATCCATCCCTTCTTCTTTGAATTTCCTCGTCCCTTCTTCAACCGGTGTTCATGTCAGTGTTACGCAATCCTTCTTTTTGATAAGGACTTGATATAGCGCGGGGGCAGCCATGTTGTTAATGGTGATTAGGCAAGGAAGTGAAAGGTGCGGATGATTAGGAGCGGAGGGGACGATGATGAACGACACGATGCCAAGGGTTAGGAAATAGTTCACAATTCTTGTTAGGCATGATTTCCAAAAAGAGGAGCGGTGTAGGTAAGTCAGGGTACACTTAGACATAGGGTTCTAAGGTCTGTGATCCATAAGTTTCAAGGTTCATTTTCCGTAAGTCCAAGCCAAATTTTCAAAGCGGTCTATTACCCATAGTTCCCTTACCTTGTTCCATAAGCCCCAAAGGTTCATTTCTCTGGATCTTATCGGTTAATCGCTCTTTAGCCCCATAATTTCATTACCTATAGGTCCCATATGTTCAAGACCCATAAGTCCCATAGGTTAATTTTCCCTGTATCTTATCGGCTCATGGCTCTTAAGATCCAAATGTTCACGACCCATAAGCATCTTATGCGGTAGGTTTGTTGTCTCAAGATTAGGCCTTTTTTCCTCTGGCACCTAGATTCAGGATTACTGTATGTTTTCTAGAGTTAAAGGTTCTGTTAGGTCCTTTCCGGCAGCTTATTATTCAACTTTCTATTTCCTATCGGTCCTTACAGTACCCCTGACACTATTTGACATTATTTATCTCTCTTCTTTTGACACACGCTTAAATCGTTGCTTGGTTAGAGGGAACTTTTAAATATGGATGAAGAGTCCTTGCCCTGGGCAACTGATTTTCTCCAGGTTTAGGTACCCATCTGTCTGGGTACAGATTTTTTGTATCATACATGTTTTCCTTTTTTGTTTCTTGTTCAATTTTTGCCTTGATTTTTTTTAATTTTGGTATGTCTGACCCTTACAACCCTTGTTAGTCATTTTGATCAGTCTTGGTATGACCTGAATTTTCAGACTGGGCGTGGCCAGGGATCATAGAAATCTGACTGTCTGAAAAGACTGTCACTTTATTTGACACTCGATATTCGAAAACATAATTTCTGCAGGTTCTTACTGGAAACTTAGATTCTAGACCCTGATATTATGCTCTGATAGGTACGCTATGCGGTCATTAGCTCGGCCAAAGAGGGTGCCAACTTCAACCAAATTTATCTCAATTTCTATGAAAGATATCAAAAATCTGCCAATTGATAACAGGTTTGCCATAATAAGACCAACATTTTATCAATTGACCGTTTTTTGCATTCGTTTACAGGAACTGAGATAATTGAGCTCAAAGTTGGCACCCCTTCCGTAAGCGCTATTGGTCGGCAGCAGTGGTCGAGTAGCTCATATCTCAATTCCTATAAAAGATATCAAAAAGCTATTGACTATTAAAATGCTTATCATGATATCACCAACATTTTATCAGTTGAAAGATTCTTGATATCTCTTACGGAAACTGAGATAATTGAGCTCAAAGTTCAAGAATCTCGAATCTCTAGTTTCGAGTTCCCTCATTTTCCTCCCATTCCCGAATCATTAATCATATCAATAATTTTCTCCATTTGGCTATTCTCGCATCATTTTCCTTCTTTTCGAATTCGCATTTCCTTAAAACCAGCCTATCACAATCAGAAAATGAGAAGAGAAAGACACTCCTATCGGTCAGGTTCGCCAACATATCTTCTCTCTGAGTCTCTTCATCTCATACACTATTTCTCTCTCAATTCCAATTGGTTTCCTTCTTCTTCTTCTTCTCATCAGCCACACCTTCCAGATTTCTGTGTGTATGTATTTGTTTCACGTCTTCTTTTTTGGGCATTTTTCTCCTCCCACGTCTTCTCTTCTGTTGATGATGCCAATGATCAGAGAATTCGACTCCTAAACCAGTCAATTCCATATCACCTTATCTTTTTATCAACCATTTTTTTTTGGGATTCGCTTCTTTTTTTTTGTTAAATTTAAACTAACTTGTAAACAACTTTTTAAATCTTACTGTAGATTTTAAATTTTAAAAATTTTAATTAAAAAAAAAGATTTTCAGGGATCACAACCATGAGGTGGGTGCCGTTAGTGCTCCTGCCGTTGATCGCCTCGGCCGGATCCACGTATCAACATCGGCAGACTTATTGTGAGTTTTTGGAAGGCTTTTGGAAGGGTTACTGTAGGCCAAAAAGAAGGGTTACTGTAGATCAGAGAAAAGTATTACTGTAGGTCAAATATAACAATTACTGTAGGTCAAAATAAGTTCCGATTTTTCTGAGAATCCAGGTTTTTTTTGTAATTTTCAATTTTTTCAAAAATTCTCTTTTCTGAAAATGTCAATCTTTCTGGAATTAACAAAGTTTCTGAAGTTTTGAACTTTTCTAAAAAATTTTAATTTTTCTAAAATTTCCGATTTTCTTTAATTTGAGATTGTTCTGATATTTTCGATTTTTCCAAACTTCCAGAAAGTTTGGAATTTAAATTCGGGGATTTTTTAAAATCCAAAATTTTCAAAATGTTGAGAATTTTCAGAACCTTCAATGTTTTTAACACCCCTATTAGAAGGGCAGGTACACGGGCGCCTATTCGGTAGACGACCAGGAAAGCGCATACAAAAGGGGTGTCATCTTTGATTTAAATTATCTCTTTTCCTGTGAACAATGTCAAAAAGTAGTCAACTGACAAAATTTTTATCACATTATCTGCAACATTTTGTTAGTGACCATCTTTTTTCTATTTCTTACAGGAACCGAGATAAATTGCGTCAAAATAGAAGCATTTCTGACACATGTCGAATTCGCGACCGAAGGGTTCCCTAACGTTAACTCTGTTTATCTTGCTTCCTAGAAAAGATATCAAAAAAGGACGAACTGACAAAATTTTTACCATATTATCAGAAACATTTTCTTCGTTTATCACTTTATGAGGTCTCTTACATGAACCTAGATAAGTGAGCTCAAATTTAGCAACCAATGAGTAATTGGTCGGTGGCCGAGCTTTTATATTTCTAGGCCACCAACTTCATTGATGAATCTGAACTGAAAATTCCGAATTTCCCATTCCCATTCCTATAAAAACGTTTACAAGTCACACTTCTCTCTCTCCCTGAAAACTGATTAGCACTGATTGTTTTCCCAATTCCTCTTTTTTCCTTTTGTGTAATATTCCATTTGCCCTCCCCCTCTCCTTCTTCTCCGTTAGCTTCCCCTTCCATTTCTCATCTCTTTGGCATTTTCATTATCATTACCAGTCTCTCTAACAGAAGACCTTGGAGAAATAGTATAACGATCGGAGAGAGTGCCAGAGAAAAAGAGAAGGGCGTGGCGATGGGACACACCCTCTGGTGACCTTGTGTGAACACTCTAAATTGCCCATTTTTGGGCAAAATAAGAAAAATCGAAAAGGGATCGAATGACTAGAAATCGGGCGAACAGAAAATAAATTGAAATTGTGAAAAAAAAAATTTCAGCCAGCCTACAATGCCGAGTCAACGATCCTCTATCATGTAATCAGGCAAAGAGTGAGGTAAGAAAGTTCAACGGTACATAACTCGGTTCAAAATTGGCATTTCTATATGATTCAAATTGAAAAATGTGGAGCTTCGAAAGATTTACAAAATGATTTTAATTTAAATATAATCAATAAATTAGTTTTTAAGCAGGAGCCGTAAAGAAGCCGGACCAGAGGAATTCGGTCCGAGATAACGCTGGCCCGTTTGCGGCCTCTGTTTCTGACCTCGGTTTTAAGCTTTAGTCGAATTAATTCAAATTAATTTGTAGACCTTGTTAGGTTCTACATTTTTAGATGGTTTAAAAATAGCAAATTTTAGATGGTTTAAAAATAGCAATTTTGAAGCAAGTTATGATGTCAAGAACTAGCCAATCACAACTAGCCACTTTGATTTGAGCAGTCAAACTTATCGAGCGCATTATTTGACTAAAGCTCAGAATTCAAATTCATATTAGACATTAAAATTTAGAACTCAACAAGATCTACAAAATGATATTAAATTCAATTATATTGGTATGCCAAGTTATGCCTCATAGATAGTGAAAAGAAGGCTAGGCAAAATCGGCGCCTGATAGCTCTGACCTCGTTTACAGTCTCTAGCTTAAAACTGGGCGTTTTAATATAATCAAATTATATGTTTTTTGTAGAGCTTGCCAAGTTCTACATTATTCAATTTAGATTGTTTTAAAATATTAATTTTAAAGCAAGTTATGATTTTAGGAACTAAAAAGTTAAAATTTCCAGGTATGCGTCTTCGTGAATGGCCAATACCGTTGCGAGTGCCCAGTCGGAGTCTCCCGTCTTCCCGATGGTCGTTGTATGGTAGTCAATGAATGTGCCCGTCCCTCCCTAAACGCTTGCCACAAAGATGCTCAATGTATCGATCTCGCTGAAGGATACACCTGCCGTTGTAACTCTGGCTTCGCTGACACCTCACCAGACAAGGTCAACAAACCAGGACGTCAGTGTCAAAAGACAATGAACGAGTGTGGTGCCAAATCCACCTATGGAGTGGATTGCGATGAGAATGCAGCCTGTGTCGATACTCCAGAAGGCTTCCAATGTGTCTGCCAACCTGGCTACGTAGATGTCTCCACCTCCATCTCCAAACTCCCAGGAAGAAAATGCGTCGAGTCTGTAAACGAGTGTACCAATGGAGAAGCCGACTGTTCTAACAACGCTGACTGCTTCGATCGTGCCGATGGTTACGAGTGCAAGTGTCGCCCAGGATTCGTTGACGCCTCACCAAACGTCGACAAATACCCAGGAAGAGTGTGCAACAAGCCAAAGGCTCCAGAATACTACGGACAACAAAGTCGCCAGCCCCAATGCTCCGAAGGATCCGGATGCGGACCAAACGAGGAGTGCAGATTCAACACCGCAGGAGAGAAAGTGTGCCAGTGCCGTCGTGGAAGTGTCCAACAATCCAACGGAGTCTGCAAGGTCTTCAGCCAATGTGAACAGGCCAATGAATGCGATCGCAACGCCTTCTGCTCAAACACCTATGACGGACCAAAGTGTCAATGTAAGGATGGATATCTAGATGTCTCCCCGGATCCAGTGAGACTTCCCGGAAGAAAATGCCAACAGATAAAGAATGAATGTGCCGATGGCTCTCATGACTGCTCTCATCAGGCCGATTGTCAAGATACACCAACTGGATACATATGTAGTTGCAAATCCAACTGTATTGATGTCTCTTCAAGATACAATCTGCCACCAGGAAGAAAGTGTAGTGTTGGTGAGTTGAGCTTCTAGATCCTTGGGGTTCTCCAAACCTATCCCTATGTTAATTTTTCGATCTTTCTCTATCTCTTTTTCTCTTTTTAGAAATGCATCGTGATCCGGGTAAGTTCGCATGTTCATTATCTAAATTATTAGCCTAGTTAGAAAAAATTGCATGAGCTTGGCTGGTTGGGTTCCTTTCCAGAAAATTTCGCATAATTCCCTCTTCAATATTCCAATATTTAGCTGCCAATCAATGCTCTGACAAATCTCTCAACTCTTGCGACGAGAACGCCGACTGCGTTCAACTTCCCGACGGATACACCTGCAAATGCTTCTCCGGATATGTCGACGTCTCCTCCAATGCCAACCTTCCACCTGGTCGTGTTTGCACCTTGTCCACCGCTTGCCCAGCCCAGCCCACTGACTTGGTCTTCTTGATCGATGGATCCGGATCGATTGGATCCTATGTGTTCCAAACGGAAGTGCTCCGATTCTTGGCCGAGTTCACTGAGCTTTTCGATATTGCACCACAAAAGACCCGGGTGTCAGTTGTCCAGTATTCGGATCAAATCCGTCACGAGTTCGGATTAGACAACTATTCGGATAGAAAGAGTCTTCAAAACGCCATCAGAAACATTGAGTACCTTACCGGTCTCACTAGAACCGGAGCCGCTATTGAGCATGTTGCCAATGAGGCATTCAGTGAGAGAAGAGGTGCCAGACCAGTTGGACAAGTCTCAAGAGTCGCTATTGTGATCACTGATGGAAGGTCCCAGGACAACGTCACTCGTCCCTCCAACAACGCTCACAAACAAGACATCCAACTTTTCGCAGTAGGAGTCACCAACCACGTTCTTGATGCCGAACTTGAGGAGATCTCCGGATCTAAAGACCGAACCTTCCACGTATCTGGATTCGAAGATTTGAATACCCGCCTTCGCTCAGCCATCCAACGTGTCGCCTGCCCACATCAAAACAACGAAGACACCTACAACAAGGGACCATGTGATCCAAGAAATCACAATGGTTGTGATAGATCTTTGAACCAAGTCTGCCAACAGAAGAATGGAAAGTTTGTGTGCGTTTGCCCGGCTGGATTCGACATCCACCCAGTTACCAAGGTGTGTGGAGGAGATATTTGTAATCCAGAGATTGCCACGTCATGCCCGGATCCGGAGATTTGCGAGAAGACGCCATTTGGAAACTGGAGATGCACATGCCCAGCGGATTTGGGATGGAGAGACAAGTTCACTGGAGTTTGTAGTGAGTTTGTAGTGAAGGAAGCTTTTGGATGGTATAACTTTTTGGAAAATCGGTTTATCAAATTTTCTTTGTAAAGATTTTGTAGCATTTTTCAAGCGCTTTCAAACAGTACAGTTTTCATTGTTCTAGCTTTTATAGCTTCTGAGATACAGTAGTTAAAAAAAATGAAGCCAGGTTAGATAGAAATGAACTCTTATTGACCGGTACTGTATTTCTAGACATTTCTAATTGTGAGGATACTTTAAAAATACTACTGTAGTGAGTCTTGAACTTAAAGTTTTCTTAATATTTCTAATCGTAACCAACTTCAAGAATTCTCAAAATCTTCCAGAAATCGGTGAGAAAGCCCCCGAAACATCCGAAAGCACTGACGAATGCTCACCAAACGACATCCACAGCTGTCCACCAAACTCCAAGTGCGAGAAAGGAGCCGGAGGAGAGTTCATCTGTAAATGTGACGCTGGATTCCAACGAAACGGCCGCACCAACAAATGCGAAGCACCAGGAACCTGTGACCCAAGAATGCCAGAATCTTGTGATGCCAGAAAGAAGGAGAAGTGTCTTCCAGATGGCCGTGGAGCCTTCGCATGCATGTGTGATAGACACCATAAGAGACATCCAGTCACTGATATTTGCTTGATCGATGAGTGTGCCGCTGGAGTCGCTGATTGCGATCCAAACGCCAAGTGCACAGACACTGATGAGTCGTTCATCTGTACTTGTAATGAAGGATTCTTAGACAAGTCGCCAGAACAGAACAAGAAGCCTGGACGTGTTTGCTCAAAGCGTAAGTTCATTAGGATCGTCTTAACATCCTTATATCCTTCCAGAACGCAACGAATGCCTCGACGGAACTCACAACTGCTCCATGAACGCGGACTGTATCGACTTGCCAGATGGATTCCTTTGCCGATGCAAAGAAGATTTCGTCGACATCTCACCTAATCCAAGCGCCTTCGGAGGACTTGACTGCAGAGCTCTCGTCAACGAGTGCTTGATTCCGGGAGGACACAACTGCCATGAACATGCCATCTGTATTGATACCCGGGATTCTTACAAGTGTCAGTGCAAGGAAGGATATGTTGATCATGATGAGCTTCGCAATCCAGGAAGAACTTGCAAGAAGTGTGAGTAGCTTAGATCGTTCGCTCAATATTTTTTCTACGAACTCCGAGTTTTTTAAAACCATTAACATCACTTGCGGACAGCTACGCGAGCACCAACTCAGCCGACCATAAATAGCGCATATAAAAGGGGTGCCAGCTTTGACACAATTTATCTCGGTTCCTGTTAGAAATATTAAAGAGTTTTCAACTAACAAAATATTACTGATATTATGATGAATATTTTATCAGTTGACTACTTTTGGGTATATTTTACAGGAAGCAAGATAAATTGGCTCAAATAGCACCCCTTTCGGTCGCGAGTTTGGTTGAAGACCAATGGCGCGTACGAAAGGAGTGGTAACTTTGACTTAATCTATTTCGCTGCATATAAAAAAAAAATATGTATTGAAATGCATTTACAATTATGTCGAGAAATGCTTTGAAATACATTTCGCGACGCTCATGCATTGAATTTNGAGGGCGCGGANANGCATTTCAATACCAATTTTCGCTACATGAATAACCCCATTAGGCGCGAATTCAACCGACGACCAAAAGCGCATAAGAAAGGGATACCAGCTTTGACTTAATTTATCTTAGCTCCTGTAAAAGATGTTGAAAAGGTGTTAACTAACAAAATGTTTGTGATATTGTGATAGGCATTTTGTTAGTTGACTTCTTTTTGATGTCTTTAACATGAACCGAGATATATAGGTTCAAAGTTATAGGATTTTTTCTCCATGTTAGAATCGGAATTTTTGAGTGATTCAAAAATATGTCATATTTTGCAGTGAACCAAATCTGCGAATCTGGCAAACACGAATGCGACAAGAACGCCAGATGCGTCGAGAAGGGTGCCAACGACTACGAATGTGTCTGTAACGCTGGATTCATCGACAAGAGTCCATTGGTCCATCGTCCAGGACGTAAATGCGTCGAGCCAATCTGTTCGGACGACTCGAAACACGACTGCCACTCTGCTGCAATCTGTGAGGAGAATGATTCAGTTCCAGAGAAGTACACCTGCAAGTGTCGCGATGGATACCTCGATGTCGGATCAGTGATGGGCGGTGGAAAGGCTGGAAGAGAATCAAGGAACTTGTCAACGAATGCCTCTCATCCTCCCTCAACTCCTGTGATGCTGCTGCCACCTGTATCGATTTGGATGATGGATACACCTGCAAGTGTCCATTGGGATCCAAGGATGAGTCTCCAGACCCGAAGTTGCCGGGAAGATCCTGCAAGGGATTGGTGAATGAGTGCAACATTCCACACCTCAACAACTGCTCCCACTTCGCCACTTGTATAGATTTGGAAGAGGGATACGAGTGCAAGTGCAAACCAGAATACTACGATCAGCAACCAGAACAACCGGGAACTCAATGCAAATTCATTATCAATGAATGCTTGGCTGAGAATCTCAATGACTGTAGTCCAAATGCAATGTGTATTGATAAGATTGATGGTTACGAGTGCAAGTGCAAGGCTCCATTTGAGGACATGATGCCAGCCAATGCTGGAAGAATCTGTAGATTCGATGAGTGCGCCAATCCAAAGGATAACGATTGTGATAAGAACGCTATCTGTATCGATACTGATGATTCCTACACCTGTCAGTGTAAGGAAGGATTCTTCGATGAGATTTCCGATCCGAAGAAGCCGGGAAGAGTTTGCATTGGTGAGTAAGGAGAAGACAAGGTGGTACTAACTTCTCATTCTAGAGATTCTAGAAAAAAACTAGAAAAATTTTTTAATCAGTGGACCAGAACAGGTCGCCTATGGTACTGTGCATAACTCGGTTCAAACTTGAAATTTTCCTCTGAATCAAAACAATCCATTGCGATATTTAAAGACGCATAACTCAGCTCAAACTTAAAATTTCTTCCAAAGCAAAAAGTATAATATAGGATTTGACAAGAGCTACCAAATGATCCTAAATTCAATCATATCTGAATAGTGAATTTTGACTCACTATCAGAGATGGTGAAAAGATGGGTTGGCAAAATCGACCACCCCGTCTGCGCCGATCCGAGCCGCTATTGAAACTTGATATTTCTGTACAAATTTAAAACTAAGTAATATAATTTAATCAGATCTACAAATGAATATAAAACTCGACTATACTTAAATGCTCAGTTTTGGACCAGAGGCCGCAAACCATTTCAGAGCTGTTGTCGGTGGTCGATTTTGCCTACCCGTCATTTCACCGTTTCTGAGTTAATACTCGGCTATTACATATAGTTGATTTTTATATCATTTTGTAGACCTTGTTAAGATCTACATTTTACTATTTAATTCCTACAGAAATTCTAAGTTTGAGCTGAGTTATGAGTTGTCGCGTATTAGGGCGCAATTGGCGCTCACAAGGTCGACCGATTTTGCCTACCCGCCTTTCCACCATCTCTGAGACAGAACTCGAATGTCAACTATAGTTGAATTATATATCATTTTGTAGATATAATTTTCTTCTGCATTTCTCATTTTAGCCCCAAAAGAAAATCAAAGTTTGAACCGAGTTACGTCCTTGCAAACCAACTAACCACCATGCTTACCTCCCCACTCGGCCCAAAAGCCTTGGGGCCAAGAACGCTGTGTGCCACACTAGCACCACTAGCCCAGAACACTCTCTACCCCGTCTCTTAACTTTTAAAGAAGTAGGTCTCGTCATCGAAGCACCAAACCAAGCCGAAGACCCAACGACACCCGATCCAAACACCATCAAATGCGGTAACGGACTCTGCCATCTGAACCTCGGAGAAGTCTGTGTGGGCGGAGCCACCTGCGCTTGCAGACCAGGAGAAAGCCGTGATAATGATAAGGAGAAGTGTGTGCCAGTGACATCGATACCTTTGGTTGTGCGAGTGATGGAGTATGATGGAGAACCAATTCAGTATAGAACCGATTACTCGAAACCAGACACTCCGGCTCATGTGGAAATTGTGGATGCTGTTAAGAAGGTATTTATTTTTGATTCTGGTTTTCCTATTTTCATTGATAACTTTCAGAGCGTTGGAAAGATCATTGGCAAGACTGAGTTCGCTCCACGATTCGTCACCACCGATGTCAACTACATTACCAATCCAAAGGTCAAAAATAGCGATTGGGATAAGGGACTTCTTGGAAACGTCACTGTTCAACTCGCCGGAAAGGAAGACGTCGACAATTGCAGGCTCTATGAGCAATTCGCGGAGGTTGTACGAGAGATGGGAGGACGTGTGGATAGAATCAAATTGTCGGATGACGCAGACTTGGATCCATGCAGAAAGGAAGATGTGAAGAAGGGAATTCCATGTGGAAACACCTTCTGTTCCATTGAGCTTGGAGAGGAATGCATTGCTGGAAGAATCTGTGGGTGTCCAAAGGGACAGAAGAGAAGAGATGCTAGCAGTCCATGCAGAGCAGTTGAGTCCTGGAATATTCCACTCTATGTGGTCCGTGATGGACATGAGAAGATCACCTACTCTCCAGCTTTGTCTAATCCTCTGAATGACGAACATAAGGATTTGGTGACACGATTTGAGTCGGGAATCGGACAGAGTTATGATAAGACGCCACTCAAGAGCTCGTTTGTTACTGCCGAAGTCAATGAGATTGAGAATCCAGAGAGCAGAAAGAAGTCGTGGGATACTGGAATCTTGTACAACTTCACTTCGCATTTCGTGAGAGGAGGAGTCGCCGAGCCATCTAGTGTGTTCACTGAGCTCATTGATTATATTCAAAAGAGAAATAACATGGAGGTTAGTGACGTCTTGGAGCATTTTTAAAGAGCTTTTAAGCCGTACAATTTTTATTGTTCTAGCTTTTTTAGTTTCTCAGATACAGTAGTTTCCAATTATGAAAAAAATTATGACACACGCACGAAAAGGATGCTACCTTTGACTCAATTTATCTGGGTTCTTGTGAAAGATATCTAAAAATGATCAACTATCAAAATGTTTATAATAATATCAGTAACATTTTATCAATTATTAGCTTTTTGATATCTTTCACAGAAAGTGAGATAAATTCATTCAAAGTTAGCATTTATTTTAGGCGCGAATTCAGTCGACGATAAATGGGTGCAACCTCTGACTCAATTTATCTGGGTTCTTGTAAAATATAGTAAATAATGGTCAATTACCAAAATGTTTATCTTAATATCAGTAACATTTTATCAGTTAACAACTTGTTCATATCTCTCACCGGAACCGACATATATTCCATCAAAGTAAGGTGCCTTTCTGATACATCGAATCAAAGTTAAGCGACCGAATCGAATCAAAGTTAAGCGACCGAATGGTCCCTTAACTTTGATTCGATTCATCTCGGTTCTCCTAAAAGATATCAAAAAGTGGTCTACTGATAAAATTTTAATTACAAGCTTCATCAACCAAAAACTTCCAGGTCGGAAAGTCGAAGCTCTTCATCTCCCCAGAACAACTCAATCCATTCTCGACATGCTACCACTCGGACTGCCATCCAGATGCCATTTGCAAAGAAGTCGGAAAGGGCTACACATGCACTTGTCCAGACGGCTTCCGTGACTTGAATCCATCTCGTCCGGGAAGAAACTGTCTGTCGTTCCGTGGTGTCAACGAGTGTGAGAAGCCAGAGCTCAACGAGTGCTCTCCACATGCCAGATGTATCGATTTGGATTATTTGTACAAGTGTGAATGCATCCGTCCTTACGTCAATTCTGCCCTAGGAGATGCCCTTCCAGGATCCGTCTGCTCTATCGACTACTGCCAAGACGTTAACTATTGTCCACTGAACTCCACTTGCGTCAATGTCGACGAGCAGGTACTTCACATTTTTTTTTATTTCTTGGGTCTGGTTATAGATAGCTAACCTAAACTTAAATGAACTATATAGCTCCTCCAAATAACCTAGTTTTCCTCTACTAACATTTTATCCAATTTTTGGAACTCCAAACTCTACACCCTTTAATAAAAGACTTATGATGGACAGGCTCGTTGCGACTGCAAACCTGGATTTGTGGATCTCCGTAAATCAGAGCAATTGTCGACTGCCGGACTTGGAGATGCCATTTGCCTTAGAAAGTTTGATATCGATGAGTGCGCATTGGGACTTCACAACTGCTCGGCGGCTGCCACGTGTATTGATAAGAAGGATGGATATGAGTGCAAGTGTCAAGAAGGGTAAGTGCTTAACCTCTGAGAAGTTATGCTTGCTAAAAAATTATAAACTTGAATATTACGGTCAGCTACGCGGCCGGCAACCAATCCCGCATGAAAAAGGTGTGTTATCTTTGGTCTAATTTGTCTCGGTTTCTGTGAAAGATATCAAAAACCTATCAACTAATAAAATGTTTGCCTTATGTGACAAACATTTTGTCTGTTAACAACTTTTCACTATCTTTTACAGAAACTGAGATAATTGAGCTCAAAAGGAGAGCTTTCTTGAAACAACGAGTAAAGGTCCCCTAACTTTGATTTGATTTATCTTGGTTTCTGTAACAGATATTAGAAAGTGATCAACTGACAACATGTTGGAAATTTCATGGCAAACAATTTAACAATTGTCAAGCTCTAGATATCTCTAATAGGAACCGATATAACTGATTTTGAGATCAAAGCCAACACCCCTATCGGAGGCTCTCACCTCCATGTGGCTGCGTCCGCTAGAGTCAACATTTTGGAGTTTTCTGACCCCCTTACTATTCCTTCCCTTTTTCCAGATACGAAGACGGCAACCCAGCACTCCCTGGCCGAATCTGCGCCGCCCAACTCTGCGGTCTGTGCAACGGACATGGAGACTGTATCCATGACGCACAATCCGCCAATGTCACCTGCGCCTGCCTTGACGGCTACACTGGAGAATTCTGTCAGACTGCTCCATCGCAGCTTCCATTGATCCTTATGCTTCTTCTCGCTCTCCTCTTCCTCCTTCTCACTCTCCTCTGCTGCTTGTACATGTGTGCCAGATGTCGATGCTTCGGAGCACGTGGACGATCTGAAGGTTCTGCAAGTGGTCAGGAGATTCTGGGATCGGATTACTACACAATTCCACGTGCCAAATTGGCTAGACCACTGTATGGAGATGAGATGGGAGATGATCATGCTGGAGCTCTGGCTGCTTATTTGGATGATGGAGCGTCAATTTCATCGGACGGAAGTATTGAGGAGATCGAGAGAAGAGTCACGACTGATGTGACGACTAGAGAAGTTAGAACGACAACTGTCAGGGATGAGAGTGGAAATATTATTAGCCAGAGTCAGGTGAGTTTTATACAGTAATCTATTTTTTTTCAGCCCAAATATTTCGCTTCCTTTGAATGAACTTTGACTAATTTTGATTCAATTTATCTAGATTTCTGTAATAGGTATCAAAAAGTGGTCAACTGACAAAACGTTTTTCATATTATCAGCAATATTTTGTTAGTTGGTAACTATTTGACGCCTTTCATAGGAAGCGAGATAAATGGCGTCAAAAAGAGGCGCCGAGAAAAATTGAATCAAAGTTAGGGGACCTTCTGGTCGCAAACTCGGTCTAGAGAGACCCCCATTTTGACGTGTTTTATCTGAGCTACTGTAGAAGATATCAAGAAATTGTCAACTAGCGAAATGTTTATCACATTATAATAAACATTTTATCAGTTGACAACTTTTTGATATCTCTTACAGTAACCTAGAAAAATTGGCTTGAAAAAATGAAACACCAACAATTTTGTTCCAGACGGTCTCACACGGAAATCCACACGAAACCGACACTGAACAATACGGAATGATCTCATCGGATCACTACAAGACCTCAGCTTCTGAAGCCATGGACGCAGCCATGTCCGCATCGGCTTCTGGAGCCGCCTATCAGCGGAGGGGCGGAGCAATGAGCTCGTCAGCCACCAGTTCCGCATACAACCAAGGATACGCGTCGGATTCCGAGGATTCCGATGCTGGACATGCTGTCTATGATAGGACGACAAGAACGAATCAGGTATTTTTTGAAATTTCAAACAAAAAATCTTTAAATCTGAAATTCCAGTCCCACGACTTCGAGCCAGGAGCAGACCCTCGAACCGGAACCGAACGGACGAAGCGTGAATTCGTCACGAGTACCAAGGCCGAAGAAGTCAACTATTTCTAATTAAAACCATCTTTTTTTCTCAGTTACTTAGAGTCATTGCTCAGTTTTGCACAACCCTCCGGGATTACTGTACATACCCACCTTGAAATACGAAGTATCATCGCTAGCACCATTTTTCAGAATTTTCCAGATAACTTTTTCCCCATCCATCATCCTCAATATCCTGATTTGCAATCAATCCCAGTGCTCACTTTTTTCTAATTTTTAAAATTTTGTTTTTCAAAAAAATTTCAAAATTCCTGCCATTCTTCCTCCAGTTTCTTTCCTGTTTCCGAATATTTATCGATTTTTTTTCTCCTAATTTTTTTTTGATCCAATAAAAATGTTCTTTTTTTTTCTTTGAGTCAGGCTTCTTCTTCCTCTTATCAGAAATGACAAAATTGTCGCACCTCTTTTCGCTAGGAAGAAAGAGAAAACGGTGATAAAAAGTGAAAGGAGAAAACGAAGAAAATTATATTGTTTTCTTTTTTCTTGACTCATCCATTTTTCTTCTGTTTTCTGGAAGTGTTACCTTTTGACCTTTTTTCCAGATCAAACGTCATTTCAGAGAGAATTATCTATTTGTGAGTGAGTTAAAGTTTTACGACTCAGTTTTTTATCATTCAAAAAGTTGTCAAATTATCAGATCATGCGTGTTTTTTCTGGTTCCGTCTCCTGAAAAATTACTGGACTTTTTACTGACTTGCTTTGCTGTTTATGTTGTAAATGAGCTCCATTTATTTTGAGCCAATTTATCTCGGTTTTTGTGAAAGATAGCAAAAAGTTATCAACTAGCAAAATGTTTATCATAAAATTTTAAATATTTTGTTAATTTACTTCTTTTTGATATCTATCACAGGAAGCGAGATAAATTGAGTCAAAGTTAACACCCCTTTCCTGTGCGCCGTCGGTCAGCTGCTGAACGATGGCGCCCGCTAACAAATGGGTGTACTAACTTTAAGCCATGTTATCTCAGCTTCTGTGAAAGATAGCAAATAATTGTCAAATGACAAGATATTTATCAGAACAGCATAAACATTTTATCAGTTTATCACTTTTCAATATCTCTTACAATAACCTAGATAAATTGTATCAAAGTTAAGGGACCCTTTGGTCACGAGCTTGGCGGGCCGCCAGTTTGACCTGATTTATCTCGGCTCCTGTGAAAGATATGAAAAAGTGGTTGACTAACAAAACATTTATCATAAAAGTTTACATATTTTGCTAGCTGACCGTTTTATTGTATCTTTTATAGGAAGCGAGATAAATTAAGTAAAAGTTGGCTTTGTGTGCGCCATCAGTCAGGCGGTCGACCGATGTTTGAGCCAATTTATCTCGCTTCCTGTGAAAGATAGAAAAAAGCTGTTAATTGACAACGTGTTACTGATATTATGATAAATATTTTGTCAGTTGACCACTTTTTGATATCTATCACAGTAACCTAGATAAATGATGTTAAAGTTGAAGATCTGAAAATATTGCCTAAAATTTGTTTTTTGTATTTATATTCTTTTCTTTCAAACCAGCTCTTTCCAATTATATCTAATTCCAATTTCAATTTATTCTGTCACCTCTTTTTGGAATTAGCAATTCTAATTTTTTCGGCAAATCACACTTTTTTAACAACTCAAAAATCATCTCGAAAAAATGACACTAATCGCATTTAAAAATTAGGAATTTGCACGAATTTTTTCTAGATAAGCACCTCGTTTATTTAATTAATGTTTATTTAATCTTGACTCTTTCCGCTTTCAATGGAATTTTTTCATTTAAAAAATCTTTTAAAAAATGCTTTTCAGATAAAAAAATGCCTCTAGATTCGAGTCAGATGTTCTGTGCTCTATTGATCTCAATAATGCTTTCTCTTTTTATTAAATCCGTCGTTTTTCCGGAAAAAAGGAAAAGGATTCAAAAAACGGAACTGGCAAGAAAAAATAATAATACAACAGTGAATGCGGCGATGACGAATCGGTGAGTAAGCCGCGCCAGCCGCCCCCTTATAATTGCTTTTTACGTCGATTAGGGAAGTTGGCCTTGTGGCGCAGGCGGTAGTGCTGCTGTTTTGTTTTCATACGGGATTGGAGGGTCCCAAGTTCGATTCCTCCGACGACAATTATCGATTTTCTCTATTTAGAAAGTCATCCGACACCTTAAAAACCCTTCTGGAGCTGCACGACGTCATGGAGCTTCGTAACTTGTCAATGGTTGAGCTTCAAACGTTCAATGGGCAGTTTTCAAAGCTCACCGATCGTTATTGGCGGGAAATTTTCAGGAGGCAGTGGGTCAAAAATTTTTTTTTTTGAATTTTCAAAATTTTTCTTTAGAAACGACGCTCATCACCCAGACCACATCAACGTTTCACGCCTTCAAACCTCAAATATCATCACCGTTCTTGATGAGAATTTGCCGCAAGGGGCGATTCAGGAATTGACGATAACAGGTAGAATAATTCCAAATTTTTAGGAATTTTTGAATTATCGATTTTTCTCCAGGTCTGGTGCCCAAGCCATTCTCCTCACGACGGTGCGAAGTGATGCGGTATCTGCGGGAGCGGCTGTCGTCGTCGCCCAACGTCGAGTTGACATTTCAAGGCGACGCGTTGCGAATAACGAATCCAGAGAATCAGAATTCATCTGCTACTAATAAAGACGAATAAATTTTATTATACAGGGAAATTTCAATCGGGGCGGAAGAGGGCGGAGAATCAGACATTAAAAACTACGGGAAAACTAAAAATATCATTTTTGGAATTTATTTAGGTCCAAGCATGTTCTCTGGCTTGACCCATTGGGCGAACTGCTCCTCGGTGAGGATTCCAAGCTTCACGGCTTCTTGAACCAGCGTCGTGCCGTTCTTATGGGCGGTCTTGGCGATCTTGGCAGCGTTGTCGTATCCAATATGGGGGTTCAAAGCGGTGACGAGCATAAGGGACTCTCTCATGATCTGAAAAAAAAACTAGGTCACTGAAAACTAGTCCATGGGATGCTTTCTAGGCCAGCAGTGTAGTTTCTAGGCCATCAGTGAGGTTTCTAGGCCATCAGTGAGATTTCTAGGTCATCTGTGATGTTTCTAGGTCGCAAGTGAGGTTTCTAGGCCATCAGTGATGTTTCTAGGCAATCTGTGAGGTTTCTAGGCCATCCATGAAGTTTCTAGGTCATCAGTGACGTTTCTAGGCCATAATTGCAGTTTCTAGGCCACCATTGTGGTTTCGAGGCCACCGGTGAGGTTTCTAAGTAATCAGTGATTTTTCTAGGTCACTAATGAGATTTCTAGGCCACCAGTGATGTTTCTAGGCCATCAATGTAGTTTCTAGGTCGCCAGTGAGGTTTCTAGGCCATCGGTGGGCTTTCTAAGTCATCTAGGGCCTAGAAAACTAGGTCATCCCTACAAACCTTGGCAATGTTATCCTTGTTGGCGACGATTCCATCAACGCAGTGATCGGTGAAGCTGACGGCGCTGTCGGCCAACAAACGGGTCGATTGAAGGACGTTTCTGACGATCAGAGGCTTGAAGACGTTGAGCTCAAAGTGTCCGTTGGAGCCCCCAACGCTCACGGCGACCTGGAATTTTTAATTTTATTCGAAATGATGTGTTAGGAGGGTCTCGTTAGTAGGAGGCACCCCACCCCCCACCCCTCCCCCTCTAATAGAAGGGACGCTCCTGCTAATATATGCTCACCTGATTTCCCATAACCTGAGCGGCAACCATCGTAATCGCTTCGCACTGCGTTGGATTAACCTTTCCTGGCATAATCGAGCTTCCTGGCTCATTCTCTGGCAGCGACAGTTCTCCCAATCCACATCTTGGTCCGGATCCCAAGAATCGAATATCGTTTCCGATCTTCATGAAGGAGACAGCAACGGTGTTAAGGGCTCCATGAACCTCAACAAGAGCATCGTGGGCAGCAAGAGCCTCGAACTTGTTTGGCGCGGTAACAAATGGCAAGCCAGTGAGCTCAGAAACGGTAGCGGCAACCTTCTCGGCGAATCCCTTACGGGTGTTGAGCCCGGTTCCAACAGCGGTTCCTCCAGCAGCCAATTGGTAGAGACGTGGGAGGGTGGCTTCGACACGAGCGATGGAGTTGTCCAATTGTTGAACGTAGGCCGAGAATTCTTGTCCCAAAGTCAATGGAACGGCGTCTTGAGTATGAGTACGTCCGATCTTAATAATATCCTTGAATTCCTCAGCCTTGTTGTTCAAAGCAGTACGGAGCTTCTTGAGAGCAGGAAGAAGACGAGAGTTGACTTCACGGCCTACAGCGATATGCATGGCAGTTGGGAATGTATCATTGGAAGATTGGGACATGTTAACATGGTCGTTGGGGTGGACTGGCTTCTTGGATCCGAGTTCACCTCCCAAGATCTCGATGGCGCGGTTGGAAATAACCTCGTTGACGTTCATGTTCGATTGAGTTCCAGATCCAGTTTGCCAGGTGACCAATGGGAAGTGATCGTCAAGTTTTCCAGCGACAACCTCATCGGCAGCTTGGGAGATGGCGTCGGCGAGTTTTTTGTCCAAACCGAACTCGGTGTTGACTAGAGCGGCGGCCTTTTTAAGGATTCCGAATGCGTGAATCACTGGGATTGGCATACGCTCTTCGGGTCCTCCGATCTTGAAGTTCATCTGAGAACGGGCGGTTTGGGCGCCATAGTACTTGTCGGCAGGTACTTCGAGCTCGCCGAAGGTGTCGCATTCCTTGCGGATCTGCAAAGTTTAGAAATTGTAGGTTGAGACTCAAATTGGGAGAGGAAACACTGAAAACTTGCGAAAAATTCAAGTTTTTAAGAGAAAATAGTGTTTTTTTTTTCAATATTCAGACATTTCTAGAATCCTTACCTTAGCCATTGAAACAGTGGTGCGCGATAAGTGACGGGCAGTGACGAGAGACGCTCCGCGGGCAATGACGGCGCCTCCACGAGCGAGCATTCTAAAAGCGAGAGAGTGAGAATTTTGAAGAGACGCAGACAGTGAGAGAGTGGCGAGAGAAGCCAGGCGAATTCTCACGTTTCGGGTCAGAAGTTAGAGGTTTTCAAGGTCAAATCTCGACGATTTTTTCGAGAGAAATATGATCTTTGACTGTTTGAGTACACAAACAGATAAGAGAAGTGTGCGATCAGCTGGAAAATCAGGTAAAGCCGGGAAAATTGAACCAAATTAGAGGTCGAAAATGGACAAAAAATTGCTAAAAAGGTTTTTTTTCTAGAACGAAAATTAAAATTTTAAAAAATCTATGCGAAATTTAGATTCTAAATCATATAATTATGGCATCTGTATAATGCATGGAATGGGGGAACATGGAAAATCGGGTATTAAAATTGTTAAAACGGAAAATATACACAAATTCTGTACAAAATAATCAAAAACTACATTAAAATCTACATAGTAGCCGACAGATAATTAATTAATTTCTGTAAAATCGTCATGACAATATTCAAATGTTTGATGACTTCGTCGAGATGGGGAAGTTGTGATTCGGCCATGAACACGGACAGGCCTTGAGGATGTACGGTCTTTGGGACCATTTGGTACGAAGCGCAGACCTGAAAAGACGAAAAAATGAAAGACATTTCCTGAAAAAAACACAAAAAACGCCAAAAAAATTCCGACGATTTCGTGTCGAGACCTGGCCGCGTCGAAGCATGTTCTTTTAAAACTACAGTAGATTTTTTAAAGGCGCATGCTGTAATGAGGTAGGGTGTTGACACGATATCGCCGGCAAGGGTGATTTTTCAAGAATTTTCTGCTCGTTTTTGGCCTATTTTCGTCAAATTTTGGGTGTTTTTCAGCAGTTTTGATGATTTTAAAAGCAGAAAATTAGATTTTTCTATCCTCTAAACTGAAAATGCGTACTAATCGACCTAAAAAATTTGAAAAAAATTGTAAATTTGCTGAAAAAAACAAAACAAATGCTAAAAAAGGGAAAATTCCTGCGATTTCGTGGCGAGACTCAGCCACGCCAAAGCATGTTCCTTTAAAACTACAGTAGATTTTTAAAGGCGCATGTTATAATGAGGTAGGGTCTCGACACGATATCGCCGGCAAGGGTGATGATTTTTCGAGTAATTTCAGCTTGTTTTGATGAATTTTTTTCGAGAAAATCGGCGAAAACAATCAAATTCGTATGAAATCCGTGAAAATGTGATGGATTTTGATTGGATTTTCAGCTGTTTGTTAGGATTTAGAAGCTGAATTAGATTTATAAGGGCCAATTCAAGCGGATTGCATAGTCAATTGTCGAAATGAAAAAATGTAATTCTTCAAGGATTTTCAGTCCGCTTTTGATCGATTTTCTTCGAGAAAATCGTCCAAGAAAACTGAGAATGCGTACCAATCGACAGCACGAAATATAGAAAGAAATGAGCTGATCCTGTGGAAGTGGCGGCACGAATTTTCGAGTTGGCGGAAAATAGCACAACTCCAGAAGACTTCTTTTTCGGGGCAGCATGATCGAGTTTCTCGCCAACGAGATCTCATTCATTGTCACTTTGAGCTCGTCCAAAATCCGTTTTCCAGTGCTCAAACTGAACGAATCGGTGCCACCGTCTACGTTGCCACGTAGAAACTGTAGCTCTTCTTGCAAATCGCAAAGCATAATTGTCACCCGAGCAATGTGATTTCCAAGGTCTTGAAGCTGCTGAAGCTTCCATTGAACGTCGGGTTGAGCGAAGGCGCGATAGTAACCACCGCCGGCTTTCGGGTATTTTACAGTGACTTCCGCTTGAATTACATTGTCGTCAAGGAGGGTTACACTGGCCTAGAAGATTCTAGAAGTATTAAAAACTTTAAAAATCAAAAATTACTTTCAAGTTATCGGAACTTCCGGTTCTCGACATCAACTGATACTTCTCGGTGGTCCCATGACTGAAATCAATCTTCAGACGCTCGTCACACTTTGCCGATAGATTCAGAATCGTGCAGCACGTCTTCAGATGGCCGAGTGCTCCATGCAACGTCTTCTCGATGTCGTGCCGTTGAATCCAGAGGTTCTCGTCGTCCTTGTTCTGGCGGATCTTGTCGCGATCGTCTGGAATTGTTTTTTTTTTGATTTCTAGCTCAATTTTTCATGAAATTTCGTAATTTTTAGTCAATTTTAAGCTTCCTGAAGCCTCTTAAAGGTTTTTTTCAACGATTTCCCTTCATTTAAAAAATACCTTGCGGATTCGGAGACAATGGCGCTGGCGGATAATTGGTTGTTATCGTTAGACTGTGTTGTTGCCCTTCCATCTTTATTAAAACCGAAAAATCGATAAAATTCACTGAATTTTGACGATAAAGGTGTAAAAATCGCTGGAAAAACGGGTTGGGCGGAGTGCAGTGGAGCGCACTTGCAAATCTCACTTGCGAGTAAAGGAGGGGAGAAAACTTGCGTTTTGCAACTTCTTGAGAGGAAAAAAGAAGAAAAAGCAAGAAGGAAAAATAATAAAAAAAAACTTCTCAAGGGATTAGAAAAAGCGGACATCCCGACATACAGACAGAACACACCCCTCATTGACATAAATAATTTCTCTAAACTTCCAAGGAATTTTCTTCCAATTGATGCAATAAATCATCACATCTGGGTGGGAAATTGATTAGTATTCGTGTGCTCCAGAAGTGAAACTTCATCATTCGCGAACGAGAAAAACTGATGGGTTCTCCGCTTTTTCGAGGATTGATGAGGGGGATAATTTGTAAATATTCAGAGAAAATGAAGCTTTTATTTCAAAAAATCCTTGAAAAATACAATTTGCAGGCACCACCATCAGCTCTTTCCCAGGCGTATAATCCAAAGTGTTATAATTACCAAATCACATCCATGCTCAATTGCACACAGTGGCGCAGAGGCAACATCGCTGGTTACCAGGCGGCCACAGATAAAGGGGGACTGCCGAAAAACTGCTAAATGACAGCTGAAGAGGCGCAAACTGGCGAATGACTGCTAGTTGGCAGCCGAAGGAGAACCGACGGACCGTCGGCGGCGCGCGATTCGACTGCCGACTGTTCGCTTTTCGGCAGTCCGCGCCCGCCAGACGGCCCGTTTTTCGGCAGTCCCCCTCTACCTGTGGCGGTCGCGGGTTCGAGTCCTCTCTAAGCTATATACATTTTTTTTTCTTTTTTCATCTTTTAGGGTGTTCAGAAATCAAAAAATCACGAGGAAAAAAGTTTTTTTTGCACGAAACTTGCAGCAAAAACCGCAATTTTTATGATTTCGGGGGGTGGTTACCGATGCCGACCCCTCAGCGTATAAAAACCCCAAAAAGCCTAGTGAAAAATCACGATTCAACGAATCTCATCAAGGTAAGCAACTTGCTTAAAGCAAGCCAGCTCCAATTGCTGATTCACTAACTACCGTATTCCAGAAAATGAACGTCTACACTGTCTTCATGTTCGCCATTCTCGCCGTCGCCGCTGTCTCTGGACACCGTTGCCGTGGAAGTTCCTATGGAGGAGGTGGTCGTGGAGGAGGGATCGTCATCGGAGCCACGAAGGATTAAATCCATTGATGTGTTCTGTGTCTTCTGATAAAGTTTCAAGCATTTCAAGCTTCTTTTTCAACGGAGCAATTCGGACCGCGCTCTGCTGAGAAACAGCTAAACACAAAGAATTTATTGCTCAGCATTAGCTGTGAGATTAGCGAAATAGGGAAAAATGAAAGGAAGAACTGATTGAAAATTGGCGGGTACTTGTAGATGTGCCATATCCTGAACTTCACATTCCCGGAACCCCTTGGCAAATGGGTTGGACTCAATTTTCAGACTTGTTATCTGAAAAGAAACTTATTGGGTTACTGTAGTTCCTACTTTACCCTTACTCGATGGTTCTGATAAGCAGTCACTGCAATGAAATCAGTCTCTTCGAAGGAGAACGTATGGCGAGTTTTTGCTTCATCTTGCTCTATGACATGAACCCGTGGGCGGTACTTGTGCATCGAGTTGACTATGATCTGGGAAGGAACGGACATTAGGACCAACAGACACACAGAAACACTCTTACATGTCCATTGTTATCCAATTGATTGTTGGTGAGCTTCATTTTGTCAAAACTGACAGGTGACCTCATCCAATGAGCTCCACGAGCTGGGGAGTCTGAATGGACGAACATTCGACTTGGAAGCTCACTTTCTCCTGAATCTAGCTTTTATTGGGTTACTGTAGTTTTGGATATCTTCACCTGGCCCCGTAGAAATCCACTTGCTTTGATGAAACGAGTAGCGAAAACGTTTCAATTCGATGCACTCTAGATCCACCATCACCACATAGTTCTTCACTGGATCCAGCCCCGCTATTATCACGGATAGTGTTGGGAACATTCTTCTGGAATTTTTTTTTGTATTAAAGCGCATTTGAAAAGAGCAGCCTTTTGAGCTTTGGACTTACCTGCCACTCTTGGTCACGATCATTTCCGTCCCAAGACTATGAAATCGTCTCCAGAGATTTGCAGATTGCAGGAAGACACGAATCAGCCGGTCTTCGCCAATTTTTCGTTTTGGCTTCCTGGCCAGAATGGAGTCTATGGAGAAGCTTCGGTTCATTATTCTGAAATGTTAACTTCAGGGCAATTTATCTCGGTTCCTGGGAGAGATATGGAAAAGTGGTCAACTGATGAAACATTACTGATATTATTATAAATATTTTTTCAATTGAACACTACACGCTCTCCCACAAAACAATTCCAAACTGCAATTCCGAACGAAATTGCACAAAATCGCATTTTTGCGGTGTTTTTTGATTATAAAAAAGTTTTATCAGACGAATTAAAAATTCGTCCATAGAACATATAGAGAAAAAATTGCGGTTTTTTTGAGCTATAGAACTCCTAGAAATGTCAAAAACTGAAAGAGGAGATAGATTTTTTTCTGTAAAAAACTTTCAAAAATGACCATTTTTGACATTTTTTTCTTCCGGAAAACGATCATACATGAATCTATAACGACTAATTAATTTTTTAAAAATCATTTGAATCATCTTGAATCTCCACAAAATCAGATAAAAAATTCTGAAATTATGCTCTTAGACTTGCAATTGTGATCGCGCCAAACTTTTTTCTGTAGATCAAAAATTAATTTGCAGTTCGGAATTGTTCTGTGGGGGAGCGTGCATTATTTCATATCTTTTATGGGGACCCAGATAAATTGGGTCAGCGTTAGGGGACCCGAATTCAGCTTGTATGAGAAGGGCGCATACTTTGACTCAATTTATCACTGTTCCTGAGGCTGATAGCAAAAAGTGCTCAACCTATAAAATGTTACTTATATTGATATAAACATTTTGTCATATTAGAGGTGCACGCCCTTCTATTAGAGGTGCACGCCTCTCGAAGGCGCTTGAAATTACAAGAATCCTTTTTTATTTCAACCGAATTTCAAAAAATGAGTCAAAAATAGCTTTAGATTTGGTAACAGGAGACTCAAAATTGATCCATGTCTGAAAGTTGCACTATAATGATTTTGAACAAACAAATTCAGAATGAGCAATTCAAAAATATGATTTCTATCTATTTGCAATTGTTTCAATCCAATTTGGACCATTTCAGAGTAAATTTACAGTATTTTTAAACCTAATTTTTATGTATTTTTATTCAATTTGAGCTATCTAAAATGTTTTAAATTAAATTTAGTTGAATTTAGTATTATTTGGAAACTAACTTTATGTGGAACCTAGATAATAGGGATAGAAACAGCAAGAAGTAGGGTCTCCTAACTTTGAACCATTTTATCTCGATTCCTGTGAGCGATATCAATAAGTGATCAACTGATAAAATATTAGTTATTTTATGATAAACATTTTATCTGTTGACCACTTTTTTATATCTTCGCCAGGAAGCAAGATAAATTGTGTTAAAGTGCGGGCTTTCCTGATAAAGGGTGAGTGAAGGGTCCCCTATCTTTGACGCAATTTATCTCGGTTCCTGTGAAAGATAGCAAAAAATGATCAACTGATGAAGTATTAGTTATATTATGATAAACATTTTGTTAGTAGACCACTTTTGAATACCTTGTACAAGAACCGAGATAAATTGAGGCAAAGTGACCCCTTTTTGATGAAGGTCGAGTTACCGACCGGAAGGTTCTTTACCTTTGAACCATTTTATCTCAGTTCCTGTAAAATACGTTAAAAAGTTGTCAACTGACAAAATGTGAATCAAATTATCAGTAATATTTTATTAATTGACTACTATTATATACCTTTTCTAGGAACTGAGATAAATTACTTCAAAGTTAGAGCTACTACTTTCAAAGTCGCTCAACACACTAGCATATGAAAGAAAACTATTTCAAAGACAAAATAGAAGTTCTGGATCTCATCAAGATGCAATTCCTCTCCTAATAGTCACTCATCTCAGCCGAGAAAACAAAACGAGCCGATTGGTGATTCCCAATGAAAGCTCCCAGTGTCTTGTCGATTTCCATATGTCTTTATCTCACAAAAACTTGAAGCTCCCCCTACATCTGGCAGTTTGTCGTCGTTGTCATCTCCAACAGCACACACATCTACCGTAATCCCCTTCCATCAATTTGTCATTTCATTCTCGTCCTGGACACGTGTGCGGGGCAATTGATGAGCAATCGGAGTTGGTGGTGGTGGGTGTGTGCAATTTGATAGTGTTTTACGATCATTTTATTTTAGCAGGGGAATTCGAGAGGATTAGAAAGGGCTTTCTGGATTTTTACTGATATCGGATCCTTGATTATGTCCCAAAAAGAAATTTCAAAATCTTTTAAAAAAACGCATTTTCTGATCTGAAAGTTGCGTTAGCTCCGCCCACAACTCGCTCGATTTTTCGCATTTTTGATATTCTCTGAAATGAGAATATCTGAAAAATAGACATTCAAAATAATCTAAAAAAGCTACTTTTTCATGCATTTTTGTTTATTGAAGTCGATTAAGAAATACGAAGACAGAAATACAGTAATATAATGCTTTGAGCCCATTTATCTCGCTTCCTGGCAAAGAAAGCAAAAAGTGGCCAACTGATAAAATTGTAATCATAAAATTATCAATATTTTGTTAGTTGACCACTTTTTGATATCTCTTTCAGGAAACGAGAAAAATGTGAATAAAGAAAACTGCGCTCCACGGACAACTTGGGCGTCGCTCATAGCGTCTACTTCAACCCAATTCATCTCGGTTCCTGTAAGAGTTATAAAAAAGTCAACTGATAAAATGTTTATCAGAATATCAGACATATTTTGTCAGTTGATTACTTTTTGATATCTTCCACAGGAAACGAGAAAAGTTTGAACAAAGAAAAGTGCGCTCATGGAGAATTTGAGGTTAAGCCGCTTACTTCGAAACACTTGATCTCGGTTCCTGTAAGAGCTATCAAAAAGTGATCAACTGATGAAATGTTTATCATGAAATCAGCAATATTTTGTTAGTTGGTCATTTTTTGATATCTTTGACATAAGTCGAGATAAACGGAGTCAAAGAGATGCTATGTGGCGCGCCACCTCAAATTGTCTGTGGAGCGCGCTTTTCTTTAGTCTCATTGATTTCGCTTCATGACAAAGATAACACAAAGTAGTAAACTGATGAAATGCTTATCAAAATATCAGAAATATTTTGCCAGTTGATAACTTTTTAATATCTTTTTCAGAAAAGGAGGTATGCTGGCTTAAAGTTGACAGGGAGAAGAGGCATGCTTACGGTAAGCATACAAGGGAAAAAAGGCATCAGGAAAGTATACATTGTAAATAGGCATGAAGACAAAGATTATCAAAACTAATCAGTAACAAACATCTCAAGAATATCATCATTACGGATATTCAAAGTGGCAGTTGCTTTTCCATCGGATCTATGAATCTCGATTCCCTTACTTATAAATACAGGAACATTGGCAGCTGTATAGACGTGAATGATATTGAATTGTCTCCTTTCTCTCATCTCCTGGTACCGTATACCCTTCATCAAGACGCCCACTTTATAAAGATGAGCAACGCCAATACGAAGATACTTGAGTCGTCGGTTTGATCCTTTGATCCACATCTTCAAAAATCGATTCATCCATTCTAGCCGTATGCTTGACTTATCTGCGTTTATATATTGAGCGTTCGTTATCAAAATATTCTCGAAACTTCTCCAAAGAGCATTAGGATCGAAACCAAGCCAGGACAAGTTTCGCGTCAAGAACCTCTGTCTAGTATCATTGTCCAGGCAACAGTGACTGCTTATAACGTACTGTCTGGCTGGCGGAAGAATTTCCAGAGCTTTCCGTATAAACGCTGGATTACCAGCGGTTCCAAAAGTGAATCTCACTCGATTGATGCCTTTAAGAAGATCACGAACAGAATATAGCTCCAAATACTGCCATGAGGGTCTAAAGTGAATCCTACTTCTTTCAGTGTTCGCATGAAAAATGTCCATAAAGTGAGCAATCCATTCTCCGACTTTGAAGTCATCTCGTTTTGGGATCAACTTGAAAAGAGTCGAATGATTTTGCCGCACTTTAATTTGTGTTACATTCTCTATGTTTCGAGGGGTCGGTTGTTCCTGATCAATCACAAACTTTATATTTATGAGATGATGTGGAATGTTCAGTTGTAGTTCAATGTTTTCCGAGAATTCCAGGTAACATGAAACGTCCAGGTGCCGCCAGAAGTTTCTCGAAATCAGAGTCTTGGAGCGTTTCGAGCAGAGCGATAAGTCGATTCTAGAATTATTGGGTTGTTCGATTTGACCACTTCATACCGTAAATGTTCTAATAAAAGCATAGCACTTTGAGCTCAATTATCTCGGTTCCTATTAAAGAAATTGAAAATATGTCAAGTGAGAAAAAGTTAAGAGCATTATGAAAAATATTTTATCAATTGACAAAATGTTGATAGCTCTGATAAGAGCTGAGATAATTGAGCTCGCAATGTGAACAGTGAAAACGTTCTGAACACTACCTTATACATTAACTTTGAGCTCAACTATCTCGGTACCTATAACAGATACTAAAACTTTGTCAATTGATGAAATGTTGCTGATGATATGATAAACATTTTATCAGTTGACACATTTTTGATACCTCTAATAGAAATCGAGATAACTGTCCCAAAAACCTCTAATAGAAATCGAGATAACTGTCCCAAAAACCTCTAATAGAAATCGAGATAACTATCAGAGCGTTTGGGGGTATTTCAATTAAAAAGTACTTACATTTCATATGTGCTCAAGTGGCCGAATATAAGCGGGAAAATATTGTTAGGGAGAGAAAGGAGCAAAATCCGACGACATGGCATTGTATGTGTAGATGAATGCGAGTGTCGTACCTGTCCTCTTCTTTATCTACACCATCTGCTCACACCCCGAAGACTAGAGGTCAACTTCGCCGTGTAGCTAATCTTCTGGGCGACATCTATGGACCTTCCCAATGACCAAATTCTTCTGACATGTACCATTTATGTTATGATCCGTCTAGCAACTACAGTCTGCCTTATACCGTAAATACTCTATTAGAAGGCCACCCGAGCCGCCAACTTTGAGCTTATGTATCTTGGTTCCTGTGTAAGAAACCAAAAAGTGGTCAACTGACAAAATATTCTTGATATTATGCTCATGACACCGAACCATATACGATCAATACGGATTTGACAGTAAACGAAATACCGTATACACCGGACACGGATATTCGAGAGTATGCGAACCGCAAAAAAATTTTGGGCCAATGTGGATTGGATGAAAAGCAAACGATCCTGAAAAGTCTTCAGATGTTGGGTCATCTCTTAGACGAAGTGGTCGATTCCATTGATAAAAATTCAAACTCCGACTCCGTGAGCATTTGGGATACCCCCGGGTACATTGAATGTTTCAGTTCGAATAATGCTGGATCTGTAATCATTCAAAATTAGTCAAGAGCTCGCCCTACGGTAAGCACTAAAATTTGACTGCAAATAACTGGAAATTGTCTGTAAAAATCTAAAAAGTTGTAACTATTTTTTAAAAAAATACTGGGTATATCAAAACTTTTCAAAACTTTTTGAAGTTCAGATTTATGAGCACTTGTAGATTTCAAAAAAAGTGACTAAAATAATAGTTTTGCAGTGCGATTGAATCCGACTGAGCAAAATATGCCAGATTTGATCGAAACAGTTTGGGAATCAGTTGAAGTGTATAAGAATGAATACGTTCTGTGGATGGAAAGGGATGTAAAAAGAAGAGTCCGAGGAGAAGGATACTGGAGCGGAGAATGGGGAGGATATTGAACGAGAGAACTGTTTGATTTTTAAAAAAATTCGAGAATTGAATTTCCTGTCTTTTATTTTCTACATATTGTATTCTTCGTGTTCCAAAAATTACCAGTATGCAACCCTTTTAGGTGAAAATCATGAAAATTGAGCCATTTTGAGCAATTTCACACTATAAAAAGTTTGAAAATTTGAGAAAAATTTAAAAAAAGTTTCGCAAAATGTGTTTTCAAAGTTTTTAATCATTTCAATTTTTAATGAATTAATTTTTTGGTGTGCTATCATTGGAGCGCATTTTCTAGCTTTAGATTATATTTTGACAAAAAGTAGATAATCAATAAAATAAAGCTGTTTTAAAAATTTGCTAAAAAATGGTATAAAAATCACGAAAATCGATGAAAAACTGATAAAGTTACAAAACTTTAAAAATTTAAAAAAATAAAATAAAAAAATTTTTTTTTTGGAATTTGTTAAAAATTCAACTATTTATAACTTTTTGATTTTTGATTCAATTTTGATAATTTTTTGAATTATGTCGTAACAAATTTTAAGGGCTACAAACTTATGCCATTCGATTTTTGAAAAAAAAAATTAAAATTGAATGTAGAAAACGCGCTCCAATGATAACACACCCAAAAACTGGTAAAAATGCAAAAAATTTCAGCTTTCTCTTTTCCGCGCCTTTGGCGTTTCAAACATCTGACTGGTGCGTAATTTTTGGTTCATTTCAAATGAAAAATGTTTTCATCCGAAACTTCCGTTTTTCTGCATTTTGACAGGATATTTGTTTTTTTTTTTATAAAAGCCAAGACTTTGTTTTTCATATGAATAAATCCATCGTTGAGTTCGTCGTATACTTCACTTGAGTCTAGGGAATAAATATTATTGTTTCTAAAACATTATTCTTGTCATTGGTGATATAATTTAGGTCTTCTAATACTGGTTTTTTGTATATGAAGAGAATTGATTTGACAGCGACTTCCACGTCTTGTTTTGTAGATACAATATAAAAATGTGCAACTATTGCCGCAACTGCTTCTAAGATTTTTTTAACTGAATTGTTGAAATGCTCAAAAATTCATTATTATTATTATGAATATAACCAAAAACAAATGTCCATTTAATCGATTCGGTTCTTAAGACTTATTTGGGTTGTTGGATCCGATGACGATGGCTCCTCCACGTCCCCCACGACCACCTCCTCCATAGGAACTTCCACGGCAACGGTGTCCAGAGACAGAAGCGACAGCGAGAATGGCGAAGAATGCGAAGAAGGTGTAGAAGTTCATTTCTGGAATTTTATGAGAGGATTAATGATAATTTATCGCTGATAAGTTGAGAATTTAGAGATACTGTAAATAGAAGGTCCCCCGATTGATATACACTTTGACCTTAATTATATCGGTTGATATATCAAAAAGTGGTCAACTGATAAAATAAATTTCGTAATGTAATCAACATTTTATCAGTTGACAATTTTCAGATATTTTTTATCAGAACCGAGATAATTGAGCTCAAAGTGTGGCAGTGAAAACCAGGCTCACCTCAATTCAGTTGACGTTGAATCGTACCTTTTCTCATTTTCAAATGCTATTTATACCATAGGAATCCCTCAAACTACACGGTCATAAAAAGGGAAGTTTTTTGATGTGTGCTTCCAAGTTTCTGCAACCAAAAGATCACCCCTCTTCAATTTTGCAAAAAAATCGCGGAGGTATAAAAAGGGGACATGATTTTTGAAAATGTCATGTTTCAGGTTTCGTGGTTTGTAGCTAACCTTCAAAAACTGTGATGCGTCCTTTTCTTTTATTTCACTAGATTTTTTTTGATTTACCGTAATCAGAAACGCTGCAAGCTTGCTACACCCGGTTGAAGCGAGCGGCAAGGTTGCCCATCTTCAAGCCAATGTATCTCGGTCTCTGTGAAAGATGTCAAAAAGTGTTCAACTAACAAAATGTTTATTATAAAACAAGTAATATTTTATTAATTTACAACTTTTTGATATCTCTTACAGTAGCTGAGATAAATTGGATTAAAGCAGGCGCTAAGCCAGGCGACTACTTCAATTCGTCAGCGGAGCGCGCTTTCCTTTGATTTCAATTATCTCGGTTCCTGTGAAAGATATCAAAAAGTTGTCAACTATAAAAATGTGTATTATAAAAAGATCAATTTTTGTTAGTTAATCAAATTTTGCTATCTCTTACAGGAGCTTAGATAAAGCGGGTCAAAGTAGACACGATGGGGGGCGACACTTCTAAGTCATCCCTGGAGCGCGCTTTCCTTTCATTTGGTTTATCTCAGCTCCTGTGAGAGATATCGAAAAGTGTTCAATTAACAAAAAATTTATCATAATATCAGTAGTATTTTATCAGTTGACCACCTTTTGCTATCTTTCACAGAAAACTAGATAAAATGGTTCAAAATTAGGGGACACTTCTTCTAGAGGTGCACACTCCTCAAAGACGCATGGTCTTCTATCACAAAATTTCCAGTATCTCAAGATTCTCATCTTAATAATGATAAGTTATCACTAATCATCTGATAAAATTTCAGAAATGAACTTCTACACCATCTTCGCATTCTTCGCCATTCTCGCTGTCGCTTCTGTCTCTGGACACCGTTGCCGTGGAAGTTCCTATGGAGGAGGTGGTCGTGGGGGACGTGGAGGAGCCATCGTCATCGGATCCAACAACCCGAATAAGTCTTAAAATGGAATGGACACCTATATATTGATAAAAGTATCATGACAATAAATTTATGAGCATTTAAAGGCACATTATTTATATCAAAAACCCCAAAAATCATTCAAGTTCTTTGACAATGTACGGTTGCTTCTCTCTGTAGACTGGTCCCTTGTATCGTTTGGCATCTGGATCCCAGTCTGGTGGATCTGATGGTTGAATCTTATTGACTACAGCGATAGCAGTAATGTTATGGTACACATAGTCATAGTCCGGGATGCTGGTGTAAGTTAGGGAGTCCAGATACTTAAGGATTGCAGCCATTTGTTCGTAGCAACATTTTCGGAATAGCTAAATGATTTATAGTGTTCAACGGAGAAAGTTTGCATTAAAAACACCAATTTTTAAAACCCACAAATTTAAAATAATCATCACTATCTCGAAGGCGTTGCTTATCAGCACGAACACCATCCCGGTCGGTTCCCTTCTTTTGTTTCCATGGAATTTCAATAATGATCATTTCAGCAATCATATACCACCAAGACTCAATGTCATCTTTTCGAGACTGATCCTTCTGAAAATTAGGGACTACAAAAGCTACAAATACTACAAACTCCACATTATCATGAGCTGCCAGCGATGCGTATCTGGTAGTTCCACGAAACGCGCATTCTCTTCTCGGCGTTCTCAAATCTTTTCCCTTCTCCACAATTCGACGGCACAGCCCGAAATCTAGAAGATAAATGGTGTGCATATCAGATGCGTCCCTTCCGATTGCAAAGTTTGGTGGCTTGATGTCCCTGTGGAGGTAACCAACCTGAAAATAATGTAAGTATGCTCCACTGAACTTCTCGAAGGTCTAGATCACCCTATGAAGATCCCGTAGTCCTTCCAATGTCTGTTCAGCGATTCGTAACACGGTCTTCAAGGTGTAACGTCTATCGGGAAGTGTCATTCGAATGTCCCAGAGGTTCTTGCCAACACACTTCATGATCACAAACAGGAAACGATCACCAACGGTACCGTAGTCAATCATTTCTACGAAATGGGGAGATTTAAGAAGATTCAATGCCAGGAGAACGTTGGCTTCATGGGGGAGCATGGACTTTTTGAGGTGGCAAGATTCACATTTCAGGGCGAAGGATTGTTTGTCGGATTTACGAATGACACCATAGACAGCACCAAATGATCCTTGACCCAGTTCGGTGACAACCTGGAATTTTTGATTGAACATCGAACTTGAAGAATTAGAAATTTCACAAATTTCTGTCTAAACCCCAATTTTTTTTAGCACTTTTAGGAGCCAAGATGTAATCGTTTGAAGCTTGCTAACTATCTGCGTCTCTCGTTTCGAAAAATTAATAGATGCATTTTGAGCTCAATTATCTCAATTCCTGTAAGAGCTATCAAAAAGTAGTCAACTGATAAAATATTGCTGATAATGTGATAAACATTTTATCAAATTACCGCTTTTTGATATCTTTCATAGAAAATGAGATACTTGAGCTCAAAGTGGTTATATGGTAAGACCAAGCGGCTGCGCGGCGACTGAAAAACGGCTTTTACGTTTCCGGAGACAGCCGGCGTTTCTCACCTGATTTATCTCGGTTTCCGTGAGAGCTATCAGAAAGTTGTTAACTAAAATATTGCTGATAATATGATAAACATTTTGTTAATCCGTAAAATATCTTTTACAAGAACCGAGATAATTGACTTCAAAGTTCATGTGTCATATTTAGAAGCGAGACGCAGACAGATAGGTTTCAACTTTAAGTCAACTTATCTCAATTCCTGAGAGAGCTATCAAAAAATGGCCAATTGATAAAATGTAACTGATATAGTGGTAAGCATTTTTGTAGTTGACCACTTTTCGATATCTTCCCTAGGAATTGAGATAATTGAGCTCAGAGCAAGGCATCGGTAAAGTGCACTTTCCTCACCTCATAACAATCTGTGGATGTGAAAATCTCATTCTCTCCCTTATCAAAACGTGGCATGTCTGCTTCCTGTTGTTTCTTGGTAGCTGCTCTTGCCGCTTCCGCCTTCTTCTCCTTATCTATATCTTTCTCCTTCTCTTCGCCATCCCCATTTTTGTCCTTCCCGCCACTATTTGGCGTTTTTGGCATCGATTGAACGGGCTGCTGCTTGCTGTTTTCCATTCTGAGCAATTAGAAAATCGGGCTGTTTTGTTCAATAGAGCGCACTTGCCTTTTACAAGGAATATCTATCTAGTAAACAGAAATACAATACGGAAATGGATCGTTTTTAGAGAAGAGGCAAATGAGATGTCTGGAAAAGGCGTGGCAAATTGAAAAAAAAAACTTAACAAGATTAGGTCAAGTAATTTAAGCCGATTTCAGAGATTAAAAAATTTTTAGCTGTAAAACTCTGTAAAACCCAAAATTGCTCGAAGAAAACTTTATTATCCAATTCAAAAAACAAAAGAAAAATCACTTTTTCTTCCCATAATAATAGGAATAATAATAGTTGTTATAGTAGTTACTGTAGTAGTTACTGTAGTAATTCCGGTACCAATAGTAGTAGTAACGGCGACCTCCGTAGTAGCGGCGACGGTAGTAGTAGTAGCGCTTGTTTCTGGAAAGTTTATTTATTAGATTTATAATGTTAATTATTGAAAAATTGTAGTTTTGGATGTCTTTGAAAATTGAAAAATATCCGAGAAAAAGTTGAAAAATCGTTCAAAAAGGAGCTCACAAAATTTCGAAATTTTTTGAAAAATTGTCGACTTTGACCCAATTTATTTTGGTCCCTGTGAAAGATATCGAAAATTAGTCAACTAACAAAATATAGCTCATTTTAAGACAAGCATTTTGTCAGTTGACCACTTTTTGATACCTTTGCCAGGAAGCGAGATCAATAAAACTGAAGAAAAGCGCGCTCCACCGACAATTTCAGAGGTGCCCTGCATAGCGCAGACTTTGACCCAATTTATTTTGGTTCTTTTCAAAGATATCAAAAAGCGATCAATAAGCAAATTATTGCTGATAACCTAATAAGCATTTTCTTAGTTGATCACTCTCTGATATATTGGTTTAAAGTCAAACTATTGACTCACTACGGTATATTTGCGTTAGAGCGCATTTACACAGTTATTAGCCCTTCTGTTACAGGTTTTACATCAGACAACTTCATAATCAAAGACTCACCTTCTTCCTCTAGCCCTCCACAATTCCGAATTCGAATGTCCAAAATTTGGGTCCAATGCAGTCGATGGAGCCAGAGCTTCTTGCTTCACGCCGACGCCTCCAACCTCCAGAAGACATCCCAACGACAAGAAGAGAATACAGAATAAGAAGATTTTCATGTTTTTTGGTACAGTACCCCCACTGATCCACTTTTATACCCATCGAAGTGATAGTAGTAGACAGTCATGTGTTGATAGTAAAGAGTTGGCTGAATAGATAAAATGATTCATTTTATTTCTGCACGGCTACTGAAATTGGAGGAATTGTCAAATTGTCAAACTTTGGTTCCTTCTTGGATATGTACTTTTGGGAGATGATGAAATAAGGGAGGAGTTTGAGATTTTGAGATTCAGCGATTTCGAGATTCTGAGATTTATTTTTGGATCCTGAGAAATTCTGCTAGGCCATAACCTTGGACTTTGAGATTTTTCCGTTTCAAAAAATATTTTAAATATTTAAGAACCGATTACTATACATCGTCACTGGAAAACTCAGATTCTCACCCTGAAACAAATCAATACACTATCTATTAGTAATTCCAGGTGTGACATGTAATGGAAAGTCAATAACTAATCAATTGCATATTTATAGGATTGCACAGTCAGTCATTCACAGTCAGTCATATCCTCCCCCGGTTCTTTCTATGTCCCATTATTGATTTTCCCTTTTTTTTCGTAAATAATTTTTTGTGGCCTAGAATTTTCTGATGCATGGTCTAACAAAATCTAGGTTGTGAGCTCGAAATTACAGTTTTTGGAATACTGAAAAATCCTACAATCAGATTCAAATTTGATCTCATTAAACTTTTTTGGATTCTAATCATCTTATGTTATCAGGTGAAACCTTTAACCTTTGATTGAACTACCAATTCTCACTCCATCTTCATTTTCCCCATTACATCGTAGATCACAAAATGTTTGTGTCATGCCAATCAAATTGATAAGATTGACTTTTTCTCTGCACTCTCTCATTTCTATCTTATCTCTCACCTCTTCTGACCCCAACAACTGTCTTTTTTACACTCTTCGGGCTCTTTTTGCTCTTCATTTCAACTTTTTTTCATTCATACTAGACACTTTTTTAATGTTTTCGAAATTCCAAATTGACGCTTTTTTCAGGAATCATGGTCTTCACCGCTCCATCGGATCTGTCTGGCGGACTTTACTTTCTGAATGGAAAGCGTACTACTGTAGAAGCTTCGGAGACTTTTGATGTCATTGAGCCAAGAATTGGTAGGTCAAAGTCAAATTTAATAAGTTATTAATGTCAAAAATTTCCAGGAAAAGTGGTTGCTCAGTGTCCAAAAGCCACTGCTCAAATCGTGGATGAGTACGTCAAAGTCGCCTCTGCTGCTCAACCAGCATGGGGTGAGACCACGGCTTTGGATCGTGGAAAGGTCCTTCACAAGGTTGCCGATTTGATCAGGGTAAGTGTCTATCTGTCTGTAAATCTGTTTGTCCAGAATTGGACGGATACTAATTTTGAACCAGATTTTTATCTAGTTTCTTGAGTCCGAACCCAAGAAAAGGCGCCTCAACTTTGAGCCATTTTTTCTTGCTTCCTAGAAGAGATATCAAAAAGTGGTCAACTAGCAAAATATTTATTTTAAAATTGTCAATATTTTGTTAGTTGATCATTTTCAGATATCTTTTACATGAGTTGAGATAAATTAAGTCAAAGTAGACGCTTTGAGGCGCGCAACATCAAGTTGTCCGTGGAGCGCGCTTTCCTTTATTGTCTATATGTTTCCTGTAAGAGATAATAAAAAGTTGTCAACTGATAAAATATTTATCATAATATCATCAACATTCTGTTAGTTGGACACTTTTTGATATCCCACATAGAAACTGAGATAATTGGGCTTAAAGTCAACGCATTTGGTGCTATTTTTCGAAACGAGAGACGCAGGCAGCTAGAGTGTCTTGGAAAATTGTCAAAACTGAAATTTTTTGTTAGATGAGGTTTTACAACAAATTGCATATTTCCTGAATCAAAAAACACTTCTTTTTGTTCTATTTTGTTCCATTGATAAAAATAAATAAGAGGTGCAAGTTGCCAGACCAAGGAACCAGTTTTTTGGTAGTTCCCTGGTCTGTTCTCTGTGTATTGGACAGACAATTGTCAATGAGTCATTTTTTAGACAATTCAGCCAACTTTAATTTTTCTTTGACTTGTGCTGAAATTAACAAAAAATACTGCAATTAGCCAATGTAAGGGATTCTAAGCTTTCAAAATCTTTAAAAAAAACTCCGGCAGTTGAAGGATATAATTAGTTCCAACGTTTTATTAATTTCTGTTCAAAAATCATTTTTCTTGGACTTCTAGAAGCGGAGAAGTTATTACTAGCTTTTTAGACCCAGACATCCAGACACTTTAGCTGTCTGCGTATCTTGCTTCGAAATTTAACGAAATATAAGCCATCCAACTTTGAGCTCATTTATCTCAGCTCTTATCAGAGCTATCAAAAAGTGATAAACTATAAAAATGTTTATCATAATATAAGCTACATTTTATTAGTTGACAAATTGTTAATATCTTTTATAGGAAGCGAGATAATTGAGCTCAAAGTGGGATGCGGCAGTGCGAGTGAAAAAGCGCCGGCGGCTAGAAAACGGCTCTGCGTCACTCGCGCCACCTCCCCTCGCGCCATTAAGTTTGAGCTCAATTATCTAGGTTTGCTGTGAGAGATATCAAAAATTAGTCAACTTGAAAAATGTGGATGATAGCAAGGCAAAGATTTTATTAGTTTTTTATTAGTTTTTTTTTTATTAGTTCTTTCATAGAAATCGAGATGAGTATGAGCTTGAAGTTCAACTTAGGCCTATTAGAGCATTTCGGCTTTTGGTTGTGCTAGAAATCTGGGAATTTCAAGCTACAGTCTCCCTCAAAAACATTTTTTTTCCAGGAACACGCTGAAGAACTCGCTGTCTGGGAAGTCAAAACCAATGGAAAGCCAATCTACGAGGCTCGTTGCGACATTGCCTCTTCCGCCGACACTTTTGATTTCTTCGGAGGAATCGCCACCGCCGTTCTTCAAGGAGATTCCCTTGAACTTCCCGGTGGACCATCCCAACGCATCGCCTACACCCGTCGTGAGCCATACGGAGTCATCGGATGCATCGGAGCATGGAACTACCCATTCCAAACTTGTGTCTGGAAAGTGGCTCCAGCTCTTGCCGCTGGAAATTCGGTTGTCTATAAGCCATCTCCATTTGCACCAGCTTCCCCAGTTCTCCTTGGAGAGATCTTGACTGCTGCTGGCGTCCCTGATGGAGTTTACAATGTGATTCAAGGAGAAGGAGAAGCTGGAATCGCACTTTGCGAGCATCAATTAGTTGCCAAGGTCTCTTTCACTGGATCCGTGGCTTCAGGAGAAGCAGTTCAAAGACAATCTGCCACCAAGAATGTGAAGCCTGTGACCCTGGAGCTTGGAGGAAAATCCGAGCTTATCATTTTCGATGATTCCAATGTCCAAAGTGCAGTGGCCGCTGCTATGTTGGCAAACTTCTTGAATCAAGGACAAGTTTGCACAAATGCCACAAGAGTTTTTGTCCAACGGGGCATTCTTGCATCATTCACAGAGGCTATTGTCAAGGAGGCCAATGAGAAGTTGAAGGTTGGAGATCCACTCCTTGAGGACACTCGCGTGGGAGCCAATATCAATGAGGGACACCTTCAAAGAATTTTGGGATACGTGGAAAGTGCCAAACAGGAAGGAGGAGTTGTTCTTCGTGGAGGAGAACGTGTTCATCCGGAAGGAGTTGAAGGCGGAGCCTATTTCGATCCAGCTATTATCACTGGGCTCACTGATGAGGCTAAGGCGGTTCGAGAGGAAATCTTTGGAGCTTGCATGCTGATTCTTCCATTTGACACGGAAGAGGAAGTTATCGCTAGAGCGAATAATACCACTTATGGGTTGGCGGCTGGCGTTTTTTCTGGGTTGGTTTTTGAAGAATGTTTAAAGCACAATTGGAAACGGTCCCTGTCACAGCTTCTTTCATGATTAATAATATTTGGCCAATTAAATCAAACATGATAGAACAACTCAAGAACTACAAAACGATACTATTTGGAAAGGTGTATCTTGTCTATGAACAAAGTTATAGACCAAAGCTTTGTGACTTGTAACTTGGTTCATAGACAAGATACAGTTTTCCAAACAATACCGTTTTGTAATGCTCGTTGCATTCTATCATATCTGATGGACTAGGACAAAAATATTGATCCTTAAAGAAGTTATGACAAGACCCGCCAGGGCCCGGATTGGGACCGTTTTCAATTATGTTTTAAAGTTCTGAACTTTTTTTTAATTTTGAATTTTATTCCAGAAACCTTGCTCGCGGCCACCGTGTTGCTGCTCGCCTCCAAGCTGGTACAGTCTTCATCAACACTTATAATGACACTGAAGTGAACGTTCCATTCGGAGGATTTAAGAATTCTGGACACGGACGTGAGAACTGTATCGACACTCTTCGTGCTCACACTCAGACCAAGGCCATCTATGTCAATGTTCAGGACACCACTGAGCACTGCTTCTGAATTTTGTGAATATTGTAATCATTTTGAAAATGTTAATGAATATAATGTGAATTTATTTGTTTAGTCAGAAACTCGGAAATTTGGAAATTCAAAAGTTCAATTTTTCAATTTTTCAACTTCCCTGTTTTCACTTCTAATCTCCTGCACCTATGACTATTCCAGATAGTAGTTGTGGCTTTACAAATCTATATTTTTCTGCAAATGAAAGAATTAAAACTTTATAGACTTCTGGACATCCGGATTCTTAGACACACAGAAAAAGGGATAGTGTTAATTTACAATGTAACACTCTAATAGGAGGTCCTCCCTTTGAGTCCATATATCTTGGTGTCTGTGAGATATATCAGAATGTTGTCAACTAACAAAATATTTTTGATAAGATGATGAACATTTTCTCAGTTGATCACTTTTTGATATCTTTCACAGAAAATGAGATATACGAGCTCAAAGTTGGCGAGTTGGGTGGCATTCTACTATTATGATACAATTTGGTAGATAAAGAAAAACACGGGAATTTCCTCAAATGTCGAGTCTCCAATTTTTGATTTACATTAGTTGGTGAAATGGATGTTCTTGGGGTACCAAACCATCAACCAAGATGTCCAAAACTTTGGGAATGAAATAATCGACGATACATGCAAAAATCGCTGTGGCAATTTGATGGTAATACAGTGGGCGTAGATCAGGAGTGTAACGAAAAGCAAAGAGCCAGATGGAAAGCAATACCTGGAAAAAAATTATTGAAAAAAAATTAGAAGGTTCTGAAAACTTACCACCAAGACAAACGAATCGACGAGATTATCGATGTAATCGAGGTATTCGAAAACGTCCTTCCTATTAGCAAACTCAATGACGTCCCTTGAAACTGGAGACCAGTTCGAGGCGATTAGAAGGGTATAGAAGGAGAGAATAGAAAATAGTAGCATTTTTTTTAGAAAGTTTTAAAGTTTTAGAAGTTTGGAAAAGTGAAATTTATATTAGCTCACTATGAGTATAGTCGCAAGGTACGCCTCTAATGAAAGTGTGTCTCAAGTTGAGAGATTAATTAGAGAAGAGAGGTTTAGAGAAAGCTGGGAGGTTCTGGAAAATATTACAAAGTGCATATAAGATATATGTAAGGGTTAAGAAATGATGAGCAGAACAACAACAGACATTGGACATCCGGATACTTAGACACACGGAAATTTCTAAATGTTGATATGGTTTTATTTTGAAATATGATTTACAAATAAATGCAATGATTCAAATGGGGTCCCAATCGAGGTGGCAGAGACCATACCATGAACACTCTATTAGATAGCCACCCCGAATTGAATGCCAGCCTTTAATATAGTGTCATCCTAGAGCACCTCCGAACTATAAGTGTCAGCCCCTAATATAGTGCCACTGCGGATTTGATGTCACTGTTGTAAAAGTTGAAGAATAACACAAAAAAAAAATCATTTTCTGGTTTTCTAGCTGTTTTCAAGCTTAAAAGAAGTACTGTATTTGTCAAAAATGTTTCAGGATAATATCAGACTCCGAAAGTCTCCAAAAAAGAAGTAGAAAAATCAAGAAAAATGCGAAAGTCATTTTATTGAAAAGTTGAAAATCGAGTCCTTTTGTAGCGAGTTTCAGTAGAAATTGGCTCCGAACAATGTGACAGCCTCTAATTGAATGCCACCCCCTAATACAGTGCCACCTAAGACCACCTCTGAACAATAGAGTACCATGGCTATCTAATAGAGTTTTTACGATAATTAACCAATTAATCCACTAATTAAAATTCAATTGAAACTTTTTCTACCAATGAAAAAGCTGGAAATGTATGCAAGAATGAAAACTGAGGTTTGAATGAAGTACAGTGGACGAAGGTGAGGATTGTGACGTATCACAAGGAGTTGGCTATAGAATAGCATCTGGAAATTCAATTTTTTCGAGTTCTAGAAGATTCTGAATTATACCATAAGAATCCACGGGTATCTCAGAAGCAGGTATTCTAGAAGAACATCGTAAAACTTCATGAAATCCTTTAAATTTGGAGAGCAGTATGTGATTATTAGAATGGCATAGTAAACGATAATAGATAATAGCAGAAGCATTTTTCGAAACTTTTGAAGTTTCGGGAGTTTGGAAAAGTGAAATTTATAGGAGCTCACTATTAGTATAGTCACAAGGTAGGCCTCTAATGAAGGTATGACGCAAGTTGAGAGATTAATTAGAGAAGAGAGGTTCAGAGGGTGGAAGCTTCAAAATATGACAAAGTGCATTTAGGATATTTAAGAGTTAAGAGATAAAGAGCAGACCAACAACTGCAAGTACCCAGTGATCATTAATAGCAAATTTTATATTTTAAAGTTTTAAAGGCTCTGGAAATCCGGATTCTTGGAAACACTGAAATTTATTGAAGGAGCTTCCACAAGAGCAGCACTGTGAGTCGAGCATTACAGAGATTTAGAAAAATAGACACTCTAGCTGTCTGCGTTTCTTGCTTCTATAGAAAGATACCGTAAACGCTGAATTTCAAAAAATTTCCAAAAGTCCCAAAATTTCGAATATCTGAATTTCTGAATTTCTGAATTTCTGAATTTCTGAATTTCTGAATTTCTGAATTTCTGAATTTCTGAATTTCTGAATTTCTGAATTTCTGAATTTCTGAATTTCTGAATTTCTGAATTTCTGAATTTCTGAATTTCTGAATTTCTGAATTTCTGAATTTCTGAATTTCTGAATTTCTGAATTTCTGAATTTCTGAATTTCTGAATTTCTGAATTTCTGAATTTCTGAATTTCTGAATTTCTGAATTTCTGAATTTCTGAATTTCTGAATTTCTGAATTTCTGAATTTCTGAATTTCTAAATTTCTGAATTTCTGAATTTCTGAATTTCTGAATTTTGTTTACTTGATTTTCCATTCAATTTTTTTCCGAATTTCAAGAAAAATTATATTTTGCAGATGTTTGAAGACGTCATCAAGAAACTGAAAAACCTGAAAATCGGTTTCGAACATTTTTTGGATGATCACAAAAAAGTGTTAACTCCAGTTGGTTTTTTTAAATAATATAATTTCAGATTTGTTTTCAGATTTTTTACATTTTCGCCGTGATTTTTGTTAGTTTTATCTTCCAAATGAAATCTGATGGGTACCAAAAGATATGGATTTCTCATGGCATTATTGGAATCGTTGGCTCTATAATTTGCCAGCCTTGGCTGAGAATTCCAGCACATGAAAAACTATTAACTGTGATGCTTATGGAGGTAAATCGATATTTTTTAAGTTAATTTTTGGAAAATTTTTGGAAAAAATTAAAATTTCAGCTAATCCTAAACTTGATCACCATCAGTAACCTTTGTATGATGGACCAGTACTTCGCCAATTTTTTTGAAAATGGAACATGTTCTTATTTCACTGCACTCCTTTATTATCCCACCAAACTGGTGAGCTCTTTTTTCTGAAAAATCGATTATCGATTTTTTTTTCTTCAGTTCTCAAACTAAGCGCTCATCGGATCTATGTTCAACGGAATATTGCGATTCGAAGGGAAATCGATAGTAGAAGAGGATTTCAGACATGGACAGCTCTATTTGTTGATATCGTAAAAAAATTTTTGGGTCTATAACATTCAGGTTACGGTAGTTTTTCCAAAATTCTGGATCGATTGATATGAAAATCTCAAAAATTTTGAAATTAGTGGACGCCCCTTTTAATTTAAAAAACAAATAAGAATTGAAAATATCCTTACAATTAGCCACCTGTTTCTTTGAAATGTTTTCCAAAAACTTTCCATTAGGTGTTGGGACATTTCCCCAAGAGCACATTTAGTAAGGTTCGTAATTAGTACCCCTCACCTCACCTGTCCCCATGTGTCTTTTAAATGTCGGCTCGTTTCGCTTTTCATGGAATTTTGCTGACTTCTACCGGAAATTTAGATTTTTGAAAATCTTTTTTTGTTAATCATCAAAATGAATGTCAGATAATTTGAAACATTTTGCAGCAAAAATCAAGTTTCCAGCTCAATTTTGAAGATAGTTATAGCGCATTTTGTTCTGAGGGCAATGTCGGCGGGAGGTGG